AGTGTTACTGTGCTGATATCTTAAGGACTACAGTGGACAGCTGACTCCTAAAATTTTTTATATTCTTCATATTCTGTGTGGTGGTCAGTTCACAGCAGTGACAAATCTTTTCCAATAAGTTTAAATATATTTTTACCTTTTATGGTCATTTTTACCTTAAAGCCATTTTTTCTAAAAGTGTGCATTACTATTTGAGTCAAATTCTTACATTTAATCAGTCAATTATAATAAGACATTTGGGCTGTTATCAAGTAAATGAAAGTATTAATCAACAAAATTCATCTTTGCAATGCAGAGGAAACACAGAAGCTGCATCTGAAATGGCATTTAGATGCATTTACACACTGATTAATGCAGGACATGAATGCATTTAGCCTGCAGTTACACATGCATAAATAATATTTTAATATTGTAAACATCAAACGTGGAATACTGATATTTGAAATATTAGAAAATTTAAATGTGAAATTAAAACCGCCAGCAGGTGGCAGCAAGTCACTGTTAATAAGTGAGTCATTGCAATTGAACCGAATCATTTAACGAATGCTTCATTCAGGAACGAAACGCCCTCATGTTGCTCAGAGACGCAAAACAGTGCTGTGACTGTGCTTGGAATTATTTTTGTTGGCGAAATAGAGCAAAAACAGGCAATGTAGTGTCTAAAATGTAAGTCTCATAATATTAACTTTTTTTATTGAACAGTTGTATAAAAATCAATATCACATTTGTAATCATGCTGATTTTTGGAGGAAACGGCACTCTTCTTGTGATATTGATTAACTATATCAGGGATAGGCAACGTCGGAGTGCCGCTGTCGTGCAGAGTTCCACTCTAACCCCAATCAAACACACATGAACAAGCTAATCAAGGTCTTCAGGATTACAAAGGCTACAGACAAGTGAGTTTTTTTGAGGGTTGGAGCTAAACTCTGCAGGACAACGGCACTCCAGGACCGACGTTGCCTACCCCTGAACTATATGAAATTGTGTAAAGGCCCCATATCTTGAATTTTGTGATGCATTTTAACAGACTGAATCATGCCGTGAAAGAACGCACTCTAAATGCGCACGTGCACTAATCTAACCTAATAGACTTCACGTCATGTATGCGTGCACTCTCTTGTAGGTGTGTTTTGTTTGGATTTTGCAATATACTCGATAATGTCAAACCGCACATCGTAAAACAACAATCACGAAATGTGTAGATGCGAACGCGGTTACCTGCAAACTCCGTCCCACAGGCTTTACAGTGAACGCAGTGCATAGAACCATTTTCATAGCGGAGCCACTAGAAGTCTTTCAACCACTCTCTCCGAAAACTGTACGCCTTCTATTCGGCTGGTGGATCAATATTCACCACATGATGACTATCACCAGCACCATTATTTGTAACTTTATGTGGTTCACAAAAGAAATCTGTCAGTGTTTCTTTTTTTATTTTCTCTCTTCTTCAGCCTTTTTTTATTCCCCGCGGTAGTTAGCTCCCTGTCACCTGACAGCGGAAAGCAGTGACTGGGTGATTGACAGCTAATATTAACCAATCTAAAATCTGCAATAAAGTTAATTTAATTGGTTATGTAGCCTAACATTTCATAGAACGGCAGACAGGTCACCGTATCAACACTCAGAAGGCACATACTCTGAACCAAAATGGTCGCAATTTCGAGCCTTGTATTTTAATTTCTATAACGTGTGAATATATCCCCTATCGTATTCTACAACAAAAACAATCAGAGCGCTTTGTTATCACTAGTTTTATTTTGATTTCCCGAGTTCGCTATTAGCATATAGCCTGTTAGCATCGCCAGCGTGGTTGCCGCTAATCTCGCTTACATTGCTAATACTCCATTCACACACATTAACATTGTTTTACTCTGTTATATTGTTACTTGCTTTAATGGAGGATTTGTGTCTACATTTGAGTGCAAGTGAGGACACGTTCAAGCTGCATTCGGTGCAGGTCGAGCTGGAGGGCATGGAGAAGCAGATCTGCGACCTGGTGGAGAGGCAGGCCCTGCTGAGAGAGCGGAGAGCCGCGCTGGAAACATCCCAGGCTGACACTCACAAGTCCGGGGTAAGTATACAGCGCTCTGCTACCTCTCCCAACACCTCTACTCCGTGTGTTTCTCTGCACAGGCCTGGTGCACCCAGGACGCGATCTTCCCAGATGTCCTTCACTCCGGCGCCGGGACACCATGGACCCTGGGTGCACCCGCAGAGGAAGACGCAAGCCAGGTCCCGGGCGACGACCCTATTTTCGTAATTAATGCTGTTCAGTTGCTTTGTCACAATCTGTATTGTTAAAAGCGCTATATAAATAAAGGTGACTTGACTTGACTAGTATAAGGATGGAAAAATAAAAGTCACTGCTAAAATGTGCCTCCCATATCCAAGGTTTCCCACAGCTTGTTTCGTTTGTTGAGTTGATATATCGATGCTGTCCAAAAGTAATTTCCCATAAAGATGTTGACAATTAGATCTGACACGATTTAAAAATGTAATTGTGTTAACCGGTTTTAGGAAAGTTCAAACTAATCCGTATATTAAGAGAGCTATAGCTACACCTGCTCTACCTGTCGCCATATTTTTCCTTTCTTCACGAGAGGAAGAGCGGTTACACGGTTTATGCCCAGTGCATCCTCTGCATTTTTAGATGCAGAAGATAAGACTGTTACAAGTAATCAGCTCTTCGTCTCTTGGCCTGACAATTACAGGGGGACACCTATTTCATGTCAGCGGCTTTCTCACTGGTGGTGGATGCAACTGTAATGTGTTACAAGGACGCAAATGTACAACCTCCATGGGCTTCGTGCTTACTCCACTAGAGGAATGACTACTTTCTGGTCACTGTTAAGGGGAGTTTCGATTCAGGACATTTGTGCAGCGTGGAGTTAGATGTGACAGTCATCTCTGGCTCCTTCAGTGTTAGGAGTGGAACCAGTGCCTGATATGTAATAACACTTCATTCAGGTCATTCACAAACATTTTTATAATTCAGTAAACAGATTGGTGCTTGTGTTCACTGTATTATCTTATTAAGTATACAGTAAGTGTTTGTTGTGTCTGTACATACAGCATATCTGCAATACAGGAGTGGTCTATATAGTGAGATACTGAACGGATGTTAGAAAGAGAACGTTAGGTTAACGTTTTGTTTTCAGATTTGTAATTTTAGAGCTTTTCACTTTCAATTTAAAAATACCTAACTATAATCATATCTCTTACAAAAAAATAAAATTCATACTTGAGGTTAAACCTTGTGTCATCACTCTTAAAATAAACTGGAGGATACATAGAAGCGTCACTCTTCATAGACACACAGCTGGGCTCTGGTTCTGATTTCTTCTGCTGAACTGAACTATAACAGAGAGAGATTAAAGGAACACTAAGTACTTTCATAGACGTGTTCTCTGTGTGAGCAAATGTTACAATATCAGATGAAAAACTGAAATAATCACATGATAAACACCATAACAAATATTTCAACTATGTCTGTTAATGAAATATTGCACCTGAAATGTTGTGGATGATCTATAGACTCTTCATAATAACTAATATGAATACAAAAACGTGTTGTGTTTGTTGTGAATATTTAGATCTGGTGACTTTGTTCATACATTATTTGTTTCGCTCATTTAAAAACATTATGGTCTCCTGTTGTGGGAAAATACTCACACTCATTTAAAAGTTGATGTATTTCACATATTTGCAATATTTATTGGGGACTTACATGTTTAACAAATTGTTGTTAAGCATTATCTTATTATGTTTATGTTGAAATGTTATGAATTAAATTTTTTAATTTCTATAATCTGCCTGTAAATGTTTGTATCTCAGGGGATACGTCGCACTTTTAGGGGTATAAATAAAATATATTTTTTACAAATAGACTCTGTGGTCTATACACTTTCAGAAAATGTGTTCAATACTTCAAACTCTTAAATGATAATTTAATCATTTAGTTAGCAATACTGAATTTAGTTTTAGGTCAACAATACATGGATTTTTTCAGGCATGTGTATATAGACCGACGTATACATTTGTATCTATGAAAAAAGATACCCAACAAAAACATATATGCAAACTTTAAAAATTTACAAAATATAAGTAGCTTGTTTTTGTTTAGTATTGATCAACCACAGGCAACACGAGACCGCTTCATCTGCTTAAAAATAAGAGTTTCAAACTCATCTCAAAGAACACACGCCCTTCCGGAGGAATGTGAAAGCGGAAGTCACCTGCAGCGACTCACCTGCGCTTCCTCTGCCAGTGACGTCACACGCATTCTCCCGCCACATTAACATACCACAGGATTTTCTACATTTATCAACTTAATGTTTATATATATATATATCAAACCAGACACCAAACCAGATATTTCCATATGTTTCCACACGTTGTAAGACTTTATAATATAATATTAAATGTTCTGGGATTTTCCTTTTACGAGTAAATAGCATACATTATTGTAATATCTCTGTCTTATCCAAATTTAATAGGAATTATTGGTCATCCAATCTTTCACATTTTTAACACACTCTGTTAGACAACGACGAGTTAATAATATTGAGAAGCGGTTCTTCTGCTACAGGTAACACACTAAACTAAGATAAAAACTAATATAATTTTTTTTTTTAATAAATGTATATAAAAAAGCTGATTTAAACGATCAATATATTCTATAACAGCATACAAATGCTACTAAAATAACACTGCTTCTCTCCAGCTATTTTATGCACAATTCCTTCTTCCAGATGTGATCTACACACTTTTCTGCACTTATTGTGGTGAAAAATCAGCAGAATGTATTTAAATATGACAAAATGTGTTAAACAGAGCTTTGAAGACTACAGTCTACCTGCAGCTGAAAGCATCGCCAAATTATATGATATTTAATAAATACATAAAGGAGGTGGTGGATATTTTCTGAATGGCAGGCTATAATATAATATAAAACACAGAGCTTTTATGAGCGCATTATATCATTTAAAGTGAAAGAATAAATAGCTAAATAGTGATGAAGCCTAAAATACATGACTAGCCTCTAAAACAATTCAATTCAAGTCAAGTTTATTTGTACAGCGCTTTTCACGATACAGATCATTGCAAAGCAACTTTACAGCAAATTAAGTTTCTACAATATTTAGTGGTAGCTTATCAGTGGTGACTGTCAATTAATGTACATATGGCAGAAATGTACGGAAAAATCAATTAAAGACGTAATAAAACAGACGATGAACACTATTAACAGCAATTATTATATGATGCAATCAAACTTATAGCAAAATGTGGTAGTTCTGTATGTTGTTTCAGGGTTGGCATCATCTGAGGTCCTCTGAGGGGTTGCATCATCTCTTCTCAGGTGTTCTGGATCCAGACTGAAGCTTGTGTAAATCCTAGTTACCACGGGATGTCAATCCCAGCAGAAACAGAGAAACAAATAGAGACATAATTAGCATAGCTGCTGTTCCAACCAAGCAAAATTGATTTGTTTAACCCAAACTAACGAATAATAATGTGCATTTGATCAGATATAACTGCAGTACAAGATTATGAGATGCATTATTTGAATGCTTGGCCAAAGAGATGTGTCTTTAGTCTGCGATAGCAATGCTGTTTTTGTAACATGGGAAATATGCTTTTTAAAAGACAAGTTGCTATCTAATATAACACCCAGATTTTTGACTGTAGAGGAAGTAACAGTACATCCGTCTAGTTGCAAATTGTAATCCAAGAGATTCTGTGTACTGCTTTTTGGTCTAATAAGTAATATCTCTGTTTTATCCGAATTTAATAAGAGAAAATTATTGGTCATCCAATCTTTTACATTTTTAACACACTCTGTTAGCTTAGATAATTTAGAAATTTCCTCTGGCCTTGTTGGAGATATATAGTTGAGTATCATCAGCATAACAGTGGAAACTAATCCCATATTTTCTAATAATATTACCAAGCAGTGGTAAATAGCAGAGGACCTAGGACAGATTCTTGTGGCACTCCATATTTTACTGGTGATAATTGAGATGACTCCCTACTTAAATGAACAAGGTGGTAGCGATCGGACAGGTAGGATCTAAACCATCTTAAAGCCTGCCCTTGAATACCTGTATACGAGTGTGCCCGGTCCGTGCTGAACTGCCTGAGATCCTTCAGAGTCAGGACGGTGGTACCATGGAAACTTATTATCCAGAGGATACATAGGAGGAGTGGTGCCCAAGGCAGAACTGAGGTTTTAAACCACTCAAAAAGAGCACAAAGTCTTTGGGCGTAGCTCTTACCATACAGGATTTTAGAAAAGTGGGCAAAGCATAACGTGCACACTTACCACTTATGTGGATTTTAGAAAAGTGGGCAAAGCATAACGTACACACTTACCAGATATGCAGATTTTAGAAAAGTGGGCAAAGCATAACGTGCACACACTTGAATACCGTTCTAGGGGTTCTCGTGGCACCCTGAAAGAGCAGCCCATAGACAGAAATAGCGTATCCCCAAACGCTATGTCTAAGGCTATAATGCTGGAGTGGCTAGCAGTAAATCTGTAGCTGAGGGAGCAACATCCAGCTCTCAACTAGAGGGAGCTCAACCTACAGCATGTTCCAATAGTGAAACAGCTAGCAATTATTCAGCTGAGGGAGCAACACACCTAGTTCTCAATCCGAGAAAGGGGCTCGACCTACAGCATGTTCCAATGCTGGAACGGCTAGCAGTAGTTTACCTAGGCTGAGGGAGCACAAACCCAGCTCTCCTGAG